GAGCTAGTACCGGGTAGGACCCACTTTATTAGACACACCTAGCTAGTACCGGGTAGGACCCACTTTATTAGACACACCTAGCTAGTACCGGGTAGGACCCACTTTATTAGACACACCTAGCTAGTACCGGGTAGGACCCACTTTATTAGACACCTAGCTAGTACCGGGTAGGACCCACTTTATTAGACACCTAGCTAGTACTGTAAAGGGTACATGAGTTGTGGGTTCAGAGATGGCTTTGCCTGGCACCGCTGTTGTACTGAGCTGCTCTTCATGCACTTGTTTCCTTCATATTAGCTTTAAGGGGTCTGGCCGCTCTCCTCTGAGGTCTCTCTTTAACTAGGTGTTCTCATCCAAAGAACTTCCCCTGCCTGGATCGTTCTCTGTAAACTCTAGGCATTGTAATGTGTAAGAAAAAAAAAAACCAGGAGGTTGGCTGTTTCTGAGGTGCTGGAACCACCATGTCTAACAGAAACAATAATACCATGTTCGAAATGGCATGCATCTCAGTCATTCTAATGCTTAGTCGCAGTTCATGGTAAGCAGCTGGTATACCTAATCATCTGGCCACCAAAAGTATGTAAGCATATTTTTATGAAATTGTTCACATATGTTGCTTCAGAATTGGTTAGCAGTAATGAAACATACATGTCATGGCAGACATGGTAATTATTATATATATGGTTGCACATTACAATCAATTTCTGGCAAATTATATTTTATTCTCAAAATGTCTTATTTTGTAAAATAGTGTCTCTGTAAATAACTTGTTGGTATGGTTTTTACTAAAACATGTATAAGACTAACAATTTCTAAAACTCCCAGATGTCCTATATTGAATTGTTTCATTCAGCAATTAACTGACAATAAGTTCTCAGCACCAGATATTACCTGAAGCTATTCGTTACATATTTTCTACACATAACTGACAGAAATAATGTATATTTTACTTCTTGTTTTTACAAGATATTGAATTTTACTACAATTGAGAATATTTCATGTTTTTTCCAAGGTTCTTATTCTCTATTGTGTGTTTTTTGTAAAATATCTGGCCTGTAGGTCCCTAAAGACACTTTGGATGTCTTGAGAATAAATGTAAACATTAAAGATAATTTGTCCAGTCATAATCACTGCATCACATGCAAGCACCGAATAAAGCTGATTTCTAGGAATATGCAGACGTGTTATTTGCTAGCAGACATCCAGCAGATAAAATGCAGAGAACACAGAAGATCATACACATCTGAAACAGCGTGGGAACCTGAAATCAATTTGTGCACAAGCCTTCAATTTATGTCTTATGAAACAATTAATCCTCTAACTCTCACTTAGTACAGACAGGTTGCTTAACCAATAGAGAGTGAGTGTCAGAGTGAAAGCCAGGCAAGGCTGTGATTAAGCAGACTACAGAGGGGGACTTTCCTTAGGCTTGATTTGAAAAGGCTTTTTCTGACTTAATTGTCTAGTGTCAGGACCAGAGGGATGTTTATAACGTTATTTCCCTTCTTTTTGGATCCTTTTCAGCCCAGCTTAAAGAGCCTCTCCCTCACAGGCCGAACATTCGTGGCTTTTATTCATAAATCTCAAAAGACTCAAACTTGGCCCCATTTCTGCTGGCTTCGTAGTGCAGCTTTTAAACCTTATGACAATCTTATTTGTTTTTTAGTAAACAGAGTGACTGTAAAACTGCACCAAAATATGTATATTTAGCATGTCACAGTTGCTTATTTGATTCTTTGGACATGTATTGAACCTCTTCCCTGGAAACAGTATTGCATAAGGAGTAGGTCTTCTGTCAGACTATCCCATATTCCATGGTCTTTTACTAACTAATTGAGATCAAGCATTGACGTATTTCTGCTCCAGCAGTGCAAGAAGTTCAGGCCTCCCCACCAAGGCAAACCCTGTGATGTCACAGTCCCCCTGCCCACAACAAACCTGGAAAGACTCCTCTGTTCTGCACACTGACAGAGGTTGGGTATAACTGTCTTTCACAGGAGGATCACTGCGTTTTACCTTGCCTTACATTTTGGAGAGCTCCATTTTTTGGCTCTAGAGTCTCGTAGATGTCCAGGCCGTCTTCTTGCGATCAGTTTCCCTCGCCGCCTCATATGCAAACGAGAAATCGTTAGTCCCCAGGTCCACATGCACCATCCAAAACAATCCTCAGCTGCCACACGTTCACCCATCAAAACTCTGATATCAGGTTTGCACGCCATTTTCCCCCTGGTTGCTCTACAGGTCACAAATCAATAAGCATAAGAAACTGTGAGGTAAACAGTTACCCATAAGTCATCATTCAGAATTCAGTCCAATCAAACAGTGCAATATGACAATGCTGTGATACACGGAGGTACAAGTGTCTTTGACCAAAATGTTAATGCTTAGCCACAATCGTACAAAATGCCTTGTCTCTCACTGACTTTCTACCTCCCATGCATTGTTACCTACTGTTTTACCATTTTGATACTTACTTCCAGCCCTTACTAATTTCCTCTACATCGGCACAAATCACCTATTTATTACTGCTAACCAAATCTGGCTACACAGACAAAAACTGAACCCAGAATCTCACTGTGGAAAATCTGGCTGTGAGAAGATGGACTCAACAAGACAATGGGACCACCATGAGCTTTGGCCGGCTTTGACTCATGGAAACTTCACCTCTTTAAATGCCACAAACAAGGTTGTTTGTCTTAATAAATGCTCCCACATCCCCAGGTTACACTAATGGTTTGTTTTGCTCTTAAGCACCATCTTAATACGTGTGTTCTTGGGCAGTTTTATATAGAGACTCGCTGAATGAATCATTAATTCTGGTAGTATCTTAATTTAAAGTTGTCATGGAACCCAGTGCTTGAGGGTGCTGGCGAAGTTCTGCGTTTTCCGCCCACTGTGGCCCACTAAGTGATATTTGACTAGGAACTCAAATTGTTTAGAAGGGGCAAGCCCATCTGTATGTGAATACCAGGGAAAAATTCAAAGGGGGGGAGGTGGAGTTCAGTGGCACGTCTGTTTGTAATTCAAAGGCTAGAGCTTTCATGCAGTGATCTTATAGGGGCTGCAGACCTATTGGAAGGGTGCGGTCAATCTCTCACGGCCCTCTTTTATGTAGTGGTATCCATTGTATCCCATGATACTTCATCAAACTTCCCACGTAACACGGAAAAAATACAACATCCACAGGCACAAAGCACTTAATTATCCACAGATCCTCTGCCGATAAGCATATTGCATTATGGGAAAAGTTACTGCAAAATGATTGCCTTGCACACTTCCAAGTTTTTTTCAGCATGAAAGAAACTTGGCTAAATGACGACTTTAAATTAGCCCCACATATGACATTGAAGGCCATCTGAGAGGAATTGTGCTTATTCCTGGTGAGGTAATGCCCTAACTTCATCGTTAACCTTGACCTGACCTTTGACCTCAGAACAGGGGCGTTCTGATCCATCATCCCCAGGGCTTTGCATGTGGTATTCAGCCACAACCCTTAAGCTTCAACACATTGGTCCCCTTACATGCCTCCATTGTAGGTATGGGGCACGTTAAGAACATTTCTAATGGTTAGTTTTAAGGTAAGTTTTGTTTTTAAGCCAGATTAATAATTAAGTCTGTAGCCTTTACTTTTCAAATGACTCTCAATTAGTCTAATAAAGGGTCAACACTATAAAAAGCTTATTTCATTCATTTACCCAGGAATTTATATCCACTGGAAGGATGCGGAGCCTACCCCAGAAAACCTATCCCACTAAGCCTATCCCAGTCTGGAGCCTATTCCAGTTAGTCTATCCCAGCCTGGAGCCTGTTCCACTTAGCCTATCCCAGTCTGGAACCCCTCCCAGGCAGTACAGGAGACACAACCAATGGCCAATAAATCATATGTGGCCAGTCACACTCACCCACGCAAAGAGCATAATATGATTGTTATTAATGTATATTAAAGCTGTCATGTTTTGTTCATTGAAAGTATTATGAATGCAATGCTTTAAGGCATGTTAAGGTGCTTACATGCTGTTTAAGAATGATATATGAATGCATTATGAAGGTACAGTTAATGTATTACCATTTGTTTTAGTATTAAAGCATTACTGTTTGTTACTGTTTATTACATTTGTTAGGGAATTTGAAAAGGGATGGATATGAAGGTCATCCTGCTTCTCTCCCAGCCCCAG